TTGAGATAGTGAATTGGTGGGTTTTTGTTAAATGTGAGCCAAAATCATCACAATTAAAAGAAAGACTTAAACTACTTCAGTCTGTGTGCACTGAATTTATTTAATACACAAGTTTCACAATTTGAGTTGAATTACTGAAATAAATGAACTTTTCCACAACATTCTAATTTATTGAGATGCACCTGTAGACTTTAAACATACGATTGCGAATATATGGTTTATTTGTGTTTGTCAAGTCATCTCCAGGTAATAAATAAATATATGAACAATGCAGTGCTAACTGACATAGCATCTATTACAGTATTTAAACTATTCTGCCTTATTATGTGATACAAAAGTGTTTGTAGTATATAAGCAAATCATTATTATTTGTTATTGTCCAGCAGTTATCTGATTTCTAAGCCAATTAAAAGCTAGAAATGAGAGAAAAATGTAAGTTGACTATACACTACCAGTCAAAAGTTGTTGAACAGTAAGATTTTTTATGTTTTTTAAAGAAGTCTCTTCTGTTCACAAAGCCTGCATTTATTTGATCCAAAGTACAGCAAAACTGTAAAATTTTGAAATATTTTTACTAGCCTATTTCAAATAACTGTTTTCTATTTGAATATATTTTAAAATGTAATTTATAGTGATTTCAAAGCTACATTTTTTGCATCATTACTCCAGTCACACGATCCTTCAGAAATCATTCTGATATTCTGATTTGCTGCTCAATAAACATGAATAATAATAATAATTAAAAAATATTTCAGGTTTCTTGAGCAGTAAATCAGCATATTAGAATGATTTCTGAAGGATGTTACACTGAAGACTGGAGTAATGATGCTGAAAATTCAGCTTTGATCACAGCAATCATTTAAAAATATATTCAAATAGAAAGCATTCTGATTTGCTGCTCAATAAACATGAATAATAATAATAATTAAAAAATATTTCAGGTTTCTTGAGCAGTAAATCAGCATATTAGAATGATTTCTGAAGGATCGTGTGACTGGAGTAATGATGCAAAAAATGTAGCTTTGAAATCACTATAAATTACATTTTAAAATATATTCAAATAGAAAGCAGTTATTTTAAATAGTAAAAATATTTCACAACATTACTGCTTTTGCTGTACTTTGGATAAACTAATAAGTGGCAGTCAGTCACCGCACCGGTGTGGATATTGTACTTCGCAATCACAGATTCTAGCCTCCGTCTTGGAATATATGACTCAAATAAGCATTTTCACTGGATATTGCCATATGAACACATAAGTAACACATCTGCCACGTTTGTTCTGACCAACTGAGGAAAAAAGCATTTCCATAAATCTCGCTACCAATAGTGATAATCTAAAGATCGGTTAGTTCATATCACATCAAACCATGCAAATTATTATTATTGTTATACTTTATTGTCAAATGACATCAAACCATGCAAATTATTATTATTGTTATACTTTATTGTCAAATTATTAATGTTAACAACATCAGCATTGGTGACTATGAGTATAGTGTGTATTAGTGTTTAGATTTCAATTTCTGTACAGTCTAATCTAATTGTCATACTCTTCGAATTTTATATTAAGAAATTCTTTTAACGAAAAAAGCAAATTATGCTCCCTTCGAACTGGTTTTCTTTAAAATACAAATCTTTGCTATCCCAGGCTATCTGTAATCAGAAGCACGTTTAAAACTGGAATATAATTTAATTTCATTCACATATGTTTCATGAACACATAATCCTTTCTAGATTACAATCCGCCATCAAAATGATACATTTAATTATTCCAGCTGCTGTGAGAAAAGGCTATAAACGATCCTCCACCTGCAGGATCCTCCGTCACATGCGATAGTCTAGTAGCTGGGACAACTTCATGTTTACAGACGTGACGTAATGACGCAGTGCCATGCTCGAATTTCCCGCAAAAACCGACCCGTACCACTCAAATTAAAAAACATTATTATAAGATAACCGTTGTGAATTGGGCTAAAGTAAGGCGATAGTTTTGAACACGGCTGGTTATGTACTTGCTCAAATATTGATTTTGGATCATTTTTAACCCAAAAAAGTTACGGACTGCAGCTTTAAACAGTGAGATGATGTCTTAAAGGGGTCATATGATGCGATTTCAAGTTTTCCTTTCTCTTTGGAGTGTTACAAGCTGATTGTGCATAGATAAGATCCCTGAAGTTGGAAAGACTAAAGTCTCAAAACCAAAGAGATATTCTTTATCAAAGTTAAGACTCTGCCACGCCCCCCTAAAGCGGCTCGTTCCAACACGCCCCCACATATCTACCTCACTATGTGGAAATATTTGCATAATGCGCCCAAATGTGCACGCAAAGAAAGAAAGCGTGGTTTCAGTAACCGCAGTCAGTGTTGAAGCAGACTGCGCTTGTTGGAAGGAGGGACTTTGTAGAAAACAAAGCGTTTGAGAGAGGCGGGGCATAGAGGACCTACAATAATATACAGTATTTGAAAAATAATGTGTTTTTTGAACATTAAAGCATGTCAACATATTACACCAAATAATGATCTTTAAAAAAGCATCATATGACCCCTTTAAATAGGGAAATGCAAGTTCTAGTGAAGGTGTTGACACAACTCTGCCCCCTACCTTTAATTTAAAGACATTTTCCTATTCTCAAACAGTGAGATGATGTCTTAAATAGGTTATTACACTTACACTTTCATTAATATTTTATACTTAAATATCTAGAAATTGTTTTAGTTGAAATGAAAAAATAAATAAATCACAGGTCCTAGTCCTAGGTCCCACAGGTTCAGAGTGTTTAAATTATTAAGATACTAAAAATGTTAATTAATAATAAAAAAAAATACTTCTGTTTCTAACAATAATACAGCAGTAATTCAACAATTGTGTTTTACTAGAAACGTTTGTCTTTAAATAGTCAGTCTGTAGGGGTCAGTAAACTGACTGTAACTCTAAATATATTAACTACCATTTTGCTAAATACCACTTCATTCTCTAAACAGATGATGCAAAATATTCTCAGTGTTTGCTGTCATGAGGTGTGTAGTGATCATACACAGAAATCAGCCTGATTACATGTTGCAGTTGTGAGACTGCAGATGGAAAAATATTAAAATACAGATACTGCATTTATTAGAAAAATCGTCCTTTATTTGTATTTTCAACACACTTTACAGTACTGAACAGTGAAAGAAAAAATATACTGGTATATATTTATATATTTGCTTTTTTATATATAGCTGTTTGCTTATTAAATGCATTTTATTCACAAAATGACAACTTAGTTCTCTCAGAGGAAAACCTTTCATAAAAATAATATAATATAAAATAACTTGGACACCTTATACACATTACAGCAATATAATGTACAAATATTACAATCATTTTCCTGTGATTTCTTTTTCATTTATATTATTACCATAACTTGTGGACAAGTAACATATTATTTAAAGCCCAGAGAATAATTTCATTGGAGAGTCTCATGAGGCATGACTTCAAAGTACAAAGAAAAACTGTTCTCTGATTAAGCCACGTCATCTTTCTGACTGTCTCTTGGTCATTAACCTCACAGAAGTATTTAAAAACCCTATTAAAATCCATTACAGTGCAGATTATTGACACAGAGTAGCTGATGTTGCTCAGTGCTTTAGCAGAAAATGGCACTGAGGACCAAAGAGACGACGTTTGGACCGAGCCATTTAAAGTGCTTACCCTGTGCCATGCTATACAACACTCTATACCATTCCCCATGATATCAGCCATCTCACAACAACTTCCTACAGAAAAAATAAAGTGCTGGTTAAGACAAGTTTTAGAAACAATGGATGATTAGTCTGTTTTCCAATACAATTCAAATATTCACATTTAAAGATGGATTCACAAAATGACAACTTAGTTCTCTCAGAGGAAAACCTTTCATAAAAATAATATAATATAAAATAACTTGGACACCTTATACACATTACAGCAATATAATGTACAAATATTACAATCATTTTCCTGTGATTTCTTTTTCATTTATATTATTACCATAACTTGTGGACAAGTAACATATTATTTAAAGCCCAGAGAATAATTTCATTGGAGAGTCTCATGAGGCATGACTTCAAAGTACAAAGAAAAACTGTTCTCTGATTAAGCCACGTCATCTTTCTGACTGTCTCTTGGTCATTAACCTCACAGAAGTATTTAAAACCCCTATTAAAATCCATTACAGTGCAGATTATTGACAGAGTAGCTGATGTTGCTCAGTGCTTTAGCAGAAAATGGCATTGAGGACCAAAGAGACGACGTTTGGACCGAGCCATTTAAAGTGCTTACCCTGTGCCATGCTATACAACACTCTATACCATTCCCCATGATATCAGCCATCTCACAACAACTTCCTACAGAAAAAATAAAGTGCTGGTTAAGACAAGTTTTAGAAACAATGGATGATTAGTCTGTTTTCCAATACAATTCAAATATTCACATTTAAAGATGGTGGGAGGTTGACTAAAATCCCCCAAATGAATGGCAGGGAGATGACAGGAGAAAGAAATGAAATTATGAAATTCCACAATTCAACTACAGTTCAGTACAACTAAAAGTGATTCATTGTGACAGTGATTGATTCTGAGAGATCTCAAATTTACAATTCAACATTACAGTATATACAAAACAAGCAGTGCTTCGTCTACTATTTATATTAGATAGTAGTTTTTTTTATTTCCAAACCATCAAACCAGAATGATACAAAAATAAAAACTGTACACAAACTGTTCAAAGAAAACACTTGTTTTTTTTCCTTTTGATATCCAAAAAGGATAGCAGCAAGGAATTAATTTAAATAATTTCTTAATAAGAAACAATTGCTACAGTGTTTAGTTTTTTTTATTTCCAAACCATCAAACCAGAATGATACAAAAATAAAAACTGTACACAAACTGTTCAAAGAAAACACTTGTTTTTTTCCTTTTGATATCCAAAAAGAATGGCAGCAAGGAATTAATTTAAATAATTTCTTAATAAGAAACAATTGCTACAGTGTCGTGTTAAAATGGCAAATATTATTTGTTAGCGTAGTGCTCACAACATTAACGAAAAGCCACACAACAAAGCAATTTTAAGGTAAGACGGGCAAATGTATATGGGAATGTCATCAGTTCGCACAAACCGATCATGTAACCTCGGCCTTTCCTCCTGTGGTCCACCAAATGAAAACTTACACCGTGACATCCTCTAATCCTGTCACAGACAAGTACAGTTATCACATACGTAATGGTATGACCTCGAGCTACAGCTCTGACAGGAACAGGCTTGTGTAAAGCTAAGATACTGACCAGCAGAAACTAGCTTGCCATCTTATTTCAAGAGGGATGCTCACAAACGCTGTTCCACAATATAGCAACAATTGATTCATTCAACTGAATTAAAACCAAACCAAAACAAATTCTGAGAGATGAGAGAGGCAATATTGCAAATCTAACATCAACCTGAGAACTCACTCTCATTCTATCGCTCTCTGTCTCCCTTTAAACATTGGTGAAAAGTCAAATAGACACCCTTAAAAGATGCTGGACATGAAATACATTAGAGCAACAGTTCCTTTAATGGTATGACCTGCTTTCTCTGTCTGTACTCCATTATAGTCACTTTGCCGTGCAGAAAAAAATACCCTACATCTCCAGATGGAGCTATTGTTTCTTCACAGACATTTAGGAAGGCATATAAGACATGAAACAAATAATCTGGGATCTAATGCCAACATCTTATTATTCCACAAAATGACAAGAAACCCTGCAGTTGACATTAAGGCAAAAAAGCATCAAACTCCATATGACTGCACGTCTTTCCAACATCTAACCACCAACGTCTTTCTCCCTCAAATATGCCTCAACTTCTCTCCCCATCCTCTGTTCTAGCCACCGATCGAGGCTCCTCCAACTTATCAGTTAAGCACTCATTCCTTTGGCAAAACATAACTTAGTGCGTTGTGGTGTAGAGAATGCATTACCAGCATGAGTGGGTGAAGGTGAGAGAGTCTGTGCGAATGTGTGCTGCAGTTGAGGAGACTCTTGCTTTTACAAATTTGGCAGGAATGGATATAACAAAACAAAACAAAAAGGCAAAACATATGTTTCAAAGCGTCACATGGCTTATCCTCAGATAGTGACTATCATTAATTATTCACATGGATAGTGAGGGTAGTTTGTAAGTAGTGACGGTGATAAATCTAATGTAGGCCCTAAATGCTCGGTTGGCTTGAAAGCGACCGAGGAAGACTGACAGATGAGAGCAGGAACTATCACAAAGACAATGCGAATGATCCATGCCGGCACGAGAACCATATTCGATGGAGATAGATTGCTTAAAAAGAGAAAGAGACAATCAAAAATGAAGACAAAAGCAGACACTCCTGTCCCACAATGCATTGCTTCACAACAGCTCCAGAGTTTAAGCTGGTGGTTCAGAAAGGCACACGGCCATCTTGCACTGGTAGCACTCCTGGGTAAAGGGTAAGAGGGGGTGGGACCCACTGATGATCCAAATCATTTCCGACATACTCATCCCTCCACAGTCTTCTGGACAGCAGACATAATCTTATTTTCTCCCTGCAGATGCAACTGTGTTCTCTCTATGACAGAAATTGAAAAAGTCTCTCAGATTTCACTCAGCATGTGAATTCTGAGGATTCAAGTCCCTGTTAGAATGCTTTAAAAACTGATTATTGACACTGATGCTCCTTTTTATGATGGCTTTTTCCCAAAGAGATTCCTTTCAGATCCAAGCCCCCTGAACACATACACAGACACACAGCCGTGTGTTTGCATGTACTGTGTGGTATCGTTATTTTAGGTTAAAATTCATGTACGCCTGTGAATGTGTGTATGCGTATGTGTAGGAATTCCAGAGTGCTACACTGACGTAATGGCCCTTTACAAACCCCACCGCAATTCTGTTTTACCGTCAAACCTCACCCTCGCTGCTGCTGGATGGACTCCAGCTCGCACTTGAAATCTACAGTTGCTGTGTTAAATACTTCTCTGATATCAATATTATTTTGTTCCCTTTTTGAAAAATAAAATCAAATGTCTTATTGGATTGGTACACAAGACTTATTCTGTTCATGGTTTAGCTAGCAGAAACAGAAGAGTCCTATGTGAATGGAATAGGGACAGTTTTTGAAGGATGGCCCCTACTCAGCCCCCTGGGCCAGACAGCTGTTCCTTGAGTCTTGAGTATTACGTGTCATCGGTAGGAGAGGATGACTTCTCCTCCTCCTCCGTCTCCTCTACGGGGCTCTCATCAGACTGTCTCTCGTCTTCCTCCTCAACTACTGACTGAACCTGCAGTCGCCTCCGTCCCGACCTCTCGACCACTACCTCTGTCACCTCCTCGCCGTCCTCCATTTTGTCCTCTATCTCGTCCTCCTCAGCTTCATCCGCCTCCTTGTCTTCATTCTTTGCCTCTTGACCATGGCTGTCTATGTGGTTATGACTGGAAGCACAGTCCTGTCCTGGTTCTCCCTCCAGGGTGAGCTCAAACTGGAATTTGTTCGTGCAGGATTCAAGCTCATTATCTGGGCCGTCAGGCGGTGGAGATGGGCTCTGGGGAATGGTGCTTTGGTACCAGTCCCGGTTGTCCTCAAGGGTGTCCAAAATTTCCTGAGCATCAGGGTGGACCAGGTCCCCCCAGGTCTCCCACAGGGGATGCACGATATAATCAATAAATCCCACCTGAAAAAGGAAACCCAACATGTAGAGAGACAGTTAAGGCGCAGCTTATGTCAGAGAAGGTTGAGAATGTATGTTTTTGTGGGTGTTTATATGTGTACCTGACTCTTTTCCACGGACGCAGTGTGTTTGTCACACATGGGGCTGATTTCCATCCCACGCTCTCGCTCTTTATCGCCCTGCCGGAAGAACTCCTCCATAATACGCTCAGTCCACTGCCTGTACACTGCCAGGGGCTTGGTTGGGTTACTAAGGTCAGCACAGTGCACCATGTTCCTCATGACCTACACACACATACAGTACACACTTGTGACTAAGTAGTCTGTCTTTTTTTTCTAGTCTGCACTTACAGACTCATGTCATAGTTTTGAACAGTTTTGTTGCATGATAAAGACACACACCTGTATTCGGTCATTATAATGGTCCAGCATCAGCACACCTGAACTTGTCACTTTCTTGGTCTCAACCATTGTCTTTAGATCTGCCAGCAAGCTCATATGCTTTGACATGTCTGTTGCCAGAACCTGAGAAAACAAGGAATTGAAAGTGTTCATTAAAAATGTTGACCCTCAGGAATACAAAAAAACTGAGGTTCAGTGCAGTGCAATCAGGGTCTAACCATGTCGATGACCAACTTGCGCAGACTCTGCCGTTGCCGTTTGGTGAGGTTCTGAAAGATGTCACAGTTCTCCTCATGCAGAAGCTTGAAACCTACAGCCAGGTGGTGGTTCTCCAGTACAGATTCATCGTTGTACATTAATGCCAGTTCTGAGTCTGTAAAAAAGAGCAGGACAGGCTATCAGTGGATTTCTGGGTCTTCTTGGGTCCTTTACATAAACAAGTGAGGACGCTGTTGCTGATTTTTCCCATTTTATTTACAATATTTAGCCTCAAATTTAGTATAGTTACGCCTTCTTTCTTTGCGTGAACATTTGGGCGGCGTTATGCAAATCTTCCCACATCGTGAGGAGTGGTTGACTCTTAACTTTTATAAAGAATATTTCTTTGGATTTGAGACTTTAGTCTTTGCAACTTTACAGATCTTCTTTATGCACCAAGAGCTTGTAACACTCCAAAGAGAAAGGAAAACTAGAAATTGCATCATATGACCCCTTTAAAAATAGTTTTTGATCTTCCAAGCTGTTTAATGCCACTCAGCAGGTGTTGCATGCATCAGTCCAAAAGAAATTAAATAAAAAGTGCCCATCCATAAAAAAAGTGTCTCACACGGCTCCTGGGGGCGAACAAAGGCCTCCTGTAGTGAATCGATGCGTTTTTGTAAGAAAAATATCCATATTCAAAACATAATAATCACTTTAATGTAGCTTGCGCCAACAGTTGTAAACGGAAGTAGCTCCGGGTGGATGACGTATGAGTTCAGCATTGTGAATGCGCTGGTGAGTCTCGTGAAAACCAACGTTTGTTAAGAGGAGCAAAGGAAGCAAAGTTTCCCTACTTCAGCAAAGGAAAACCAGTCTCCTCTTGGCTTATATCAAAATCCTCCGACATTCTTCTTTACAAATCCTCGTTTTGTACTTCTAATAAGTGACCGTTGTTTTGTTTTGATCTCTCCCCTGCACTTCTGCGTTCGTCACTTCTGAGCGGCGCATGCGCAACGCTGAAATCATACATCATACGCCCGGAGCTGCTTCCTTGTACAACTGTTGGCACAAGCTACATTAAAGTGATTATTACTTTTTGAATATGGATATTTTTCTTACAAAAATGCATCGATTCGCTACAGGAGGCCTTTGTTCATCCCCAGGAGCTGTGTGAGACACTTTTTTTTAAAATGATGGGCGCTTTTTATTTAACTTCTAAATAAAAGAAGTTAAATGTCACAAATGTGGCATTAAACAGCTTGAAAGATCAAAGACAATTTTTAATATAACTCCGACTGGATTTGTCTGAAAGAAGAAAGTCATATACACCTAGGATGACTTGAGGGCGAGTAATTTATGGGCTAATTTTCATTTTTGGGTAAACTAACCCTTTAACAAACAATATAAAATGTAATACCGGTATCTTCCCTCATAATGGTATTTTCACATACCATGGCAAGCCTAGTTACCAATATAATTATCTAAAGGGGTGGGAAACATTTAGTACCTCACAGTTCAATTCAGATTGATTTTTATTTATTTATCTATTTTATTAACATTAATGTAACAGACGGCAAAGTTTATTAAGCTGCTTACACTTTAAGAACAAACGCACGGATCTAATATACTGTTACATCCGATTTGCTCCAAACTGTTTATGTTCACATATGGCATAATAGACTGTGTACTCCACACAATGTGTATTTTGACATAATTATGTGTGTATTTGACCATTTAAGCGCAATAAGCTGTGAAAGAGAATTTAGGATTGCATGCCTCTGAGAGGCAGCATTTGTGCTCGCACTTCGGCTGTGTGTCCGTCAGCACGAGTACTGCATTGAGTCCTTTTCGCAGCTTACTGTTAATAACACTAACGTGCCAATAACTTTTGATAGTACTCTCTTTCATGGTCTGCATGTAATTCCCTTCCTATATTACATGAATGTGTGTGTATCAGACATATGCAAATGCATTTCTATTACATGCATCGTCATTGTTGTTAAATCATCTGAATATAACAGGTTTAAAGACGCAAATAATGCACAATTTTTCATCAACAACACAACATGAGATATAACAATTCTTTTCAGTAATTACAATTTTTTAAGTAAGTCCAAGTCAATTTTCTGTCACAGCTATCAACCCACTCACTGTGAGCCTGAATCTTCCTGAATTTTCATTCAGGGATCAATACACAATGTATATCTATCTCACACAGTCAAGATGTGAGTTTTGTGTGTGTGTGTGTGTGTGTGAAGGAGAGAGATGTATTTAATAGTCTGACAAAAAGGAGGGGAGGGAATCTAGGCTTTAGTGTCTCCGCTAATCTCTGCATGAACGATTCTGCGTATGGGTATGAATATGTGTGTTCTCTGCTTCATTATACAAGCTCTGCCTCAATCGCCCAAGAGATCTTCCATTTGCACACAAATGCTGCTTTCTTCTCATACTAACATCTGCCTGATCAGGTATATAGCAAAACACCGGTATTATGGTGCATGGACACAACCATACAAAAACTGCACATCCAAAGTATTCATGGCACTGTCTCTTTAAACAGGCAAGCTATGGAAGAGAGCAACCGAATTTGATGTTTAAAAAATGCTGAATACTGATATTTGAAATTATTTTGGGGAAAAAAGAGAAAATGTATCTAAAATAGCCAGTAGGTGGCAGCAAATCACTGCATAAGTGAGTCATTGAGTCATTCATTCAACTGATTCATTCAAAGGGTAATGAAACACCCATAGTGTGTTGCTCAGAGACGCAAAACTTAAATTATTTTCATTGACTAAATAGAGCAAAAAGTCAGTTAATATTAACTTATTGTTTATTGAACTGTTCTTACAGCCTTTATCACATTTGCAGTTGTGCTGATTTTTGGAGAAAAAAACTACTCTTTGTGTGCTATTAACTATATAAGATGATATAAATATAAACTATATATAAATGTCACATGGTGGCATTTTTGCCATGTTACATTGAATTTTAGGGGAATTCTAAATGTATTTTAATAAACTAAATCAAGCAGTGAAAGCATTAACTCTAAATGTGCTCACGCATTAGTCTAACCTACATCACATAGTGTTAGGGTGCACTCTCCGGGTGTGTTTTTGTTTGGTTTTTGCAATATACTCGATAATCAAATCGCACATCGTTTAAACAACAATTACGATATTATCGCACACCCCTAACTGCAATACGCAACCTGCTCAACAGAAGGGAGTATCTACATACTTTTGACCATGTAATTTATATGAGAAGATCTGATGAGGACTCAAGTTAAAGTGATATCTTAAATAAATAAAATATGTATATATAATTATATAACTTTTTTATCATAGCTCATTTATTTTAGAAGTTCAACATGTGGAGCTCCTTCACTGCTGATACGCTTCAGAGTTCCTGATATAAACTTAGCGGCTCAGGGCTGTTATTTGGCTAGTTAAAGCATCTGGTTAGGTTCCAGACCTGTTTCCCATATGGCTCCACTATTTCTGATGCTGTAATGCATTTAACTGGCAACAGTGCCTACAAGAGGAAGTGTTTGCGTAATGTGAGAGACACTGTGTGGGAGAGTGCAAGTGTGGGTGATAGAAAGCTTACCAGTGACTAAGTTACAGTACAGTAAACATACCTGAGAGCGTTGCTGGGGGAACTGTGGGTTGACTGGTCACTGGTGACCTCCTGTGGATAAAAAGATAATTACATTGGTGATAGTGGTGGAGGTTGCCCTCTACTGGCATAAATCCAGTTAACACTGCTCACTGGGAGGAGGCCTGCACTGGATAAGAACTGACTGAGCAATGTGAATATAAAAATACTGCTGAAAATATTATTTATTTTATAAATTATTTTGTAATTTATTTTAAATTACACATGTTTATATATATCATTAAATTTTATATAAAAAATATTTTCACATAAAATAAAGTCCCTAGCATAAAATCTTATTTTTATGTTAGAATTAAGAGTTGGGCTGTTTGAATATGCTTTATTTTCTTCATTATTCATCATGAATGAAATATAAAAATGCTTTATTGGAGAGGACACACTGATGGCCATAAGGGGGCAGAGCAGAAATAAAGAAACTGTTGCATCAAAGCTGGAAGAGCTGAACTGACTTGTTGGTGGGAGTCGTGACGTTGGCTAGAATTGTGAAGTTGCTTCTGACAGTTCGTAGACTAGCCAACACCTGTGTAGAAAAGAAAAAGAGAGAGAGAAAGAGCAGGTGAACAGCAGAATATCACTCAACGCCACCTCAGCAAGTCATGACAAGCAATTAGCACTCATTATATACTGTTTGCTAGACACAACAGTGGGTCTTACCTGAGCAAAAGGGGTGACTATGAGATCTTCAACATGACTGTGGAAAGAGGAAAGAGCAGTTCCAGTAAAATGAAAGAAAAAAAATACTATATTTGGCAAATGTTTACAAATGTGACCCTGGACCACAAAACCTGTCTTAAGTTGCATTATTTAAAAAGCTTATTTATTATAAATCTCAATTTCGAAAAATTGGCCCTTATGACTGGTTTTGTAGTCCAGGGTCACAAATGGTCTTTTAACAATATTCAGATGAAGCCAGAATCATCCCCAGGTGTGAGGAAATAGATTCAACCCAACATCAAAACATGCAATTTTTTTTTATGGCCATAATCCAAGCGGCAGTCACCGTGGTCACCACTGCATGCTGGGAGCGTGAGCGTGAGCGTGTACACTCTTCTAAGGGTGTAACAGTATTATACTGAGACGGGTAAAGAGGGATTTAGTCGATGTGCTTAATGCTGCATGGTGATTCTGGGATAAAAGAACGTCCTCTGAGGCCTTTTAGAAATGAAAAGTGGAGACAGTAAACAGTGAGACTGTGCTGCGTGTTGAGGGAGACGGCTTACCCCTCGCTGTTGATGGAGGAGTTTCGTGACATGGTCTTGGGGGACATGTCGTAGTCGGAGTCAGAGCGGTAGAGGAAAGATTCCCTTCTCTGACTCTGAGGGAAGGAGGGATGGAGCACCAGCCCAGGACTCGCCTGCGAAGAGGGCCCATTCTCCCCATCATAGCTGTACAGAGAGAGAAACCAAAATGACAGGGAGAGAAAGTAAAAATGCATGTCTTGTCATTTAGCTCGAACAAAGCTTTGCCAGTGGCAGCATTAGATTTCCAGTCTCTGGCCAACACAACACAAATAGAGATGTGGAACACAAACAATCATGATTGCCTCTTACTCTAGAGACAGCAAACACTCTCTGAATATATAAAGAGCTGATGAAGACTGTGTCACCCTGAACAACCATTAAAGGAAATCACCAGCCTAATCAGAGAAGAATCCTCAGCCGCCACTTCACAATTTATATTCTATGAGCACTTTGTGGCTTAAAGAAATAGTTCACGCAAAAATGAAAAATCTGTTATTATCTGCTTACCCACATGACACCAAACCCATATGCATATCCTTTTTGTGTGTGAAATAGAAAATGATTTTTCTTTTCAAATAGTAGAGCATGGCACTAGCAATGCCAAAATCATGCGTTTGATTCCCAGAGTGTGCATTAACTTATAAAAATATATACTTTGAATGAAATGCAAGTCACTTTGCATAAAACTGTGCCAAATGCATAAATGTACGTTGCATGTGCTGTAATCAAATGTGACATGTCAGTTTAAACATGCAAAATATAAAACTAGGATATGCCATGGAACATTTTCTATTCTTAATACTTTAGAAAGCGTGGAATATGGTGATGTGGACTTCTTTTATGGTGTCTTTTTTTGGTCCTTCATATTTCACAGAAAAATAACTATAAAGGTTAGGGTTATAAAGGGTGAGTTAATAATGGCATAATTTTAATTTTGGGTGAACTGCTGCTTTAAGCTTTGCACTAAACACAGACATCTGTGGAAAGACTAATCCACACAGTTTTAGCATTAAACATGTGACTAGTGGAAAAGTACCGTATACAGTGTCTGACCCCATCTGGGGTTATAATAGACGCACTGTATTTGTTCAGTTATCGTGACACTGTGATAATGAATGAAGACTAGTCATCCGGAGAGCCTAATGATTGCAGAGCTGAAAGTGAGCATGAAACCTATTGCAGGTCATTGGTCTGTAGTAAACAAGGCATATAATGCCACCAAATCTGAATGCAAAAGCAGATATAATAAAGGACAGGGGGAATATTGGAACAGTGCAAAGTACACAGCTCATCCTTGAACCATTTGGCTGGGATCACCAGAGCCTCAAACATCTACAAAAGTATCCGCCCATGGAGCTCATAGCGGGGTCAGGGGTCCAAAGCAAGGAAGCCAAGCAGAAGAAAGAGAGGGCTTTTGCATGATTCCTAATTCCTCAGCTCTGGTTCCAGCCTCCTCTGAGTCATGCCGGGAATTATGGGTACCAGCACCAGCGAAACCTCAAACCAAAGTCTACACTTCAGAAGTGAAGCGTCAGAACTAGACGCCTGCCAAGACCTCAGTCTCTCTCTCGTGCTGTCAGTCACTCTTCCTCCCCCTCACTCCCTCGCTTCTCACAGACAAAATACTAAAGCCCCTCTTCCCACACGCAGTGCATGAGGCATCTGAGCTCGTCTCCTGCCCCTAAATGCAGAACTGAAGGTACTTTTTAGCCTGTGGCTATGGAAAGCTCCTGTTTCTGCGTGGCAGCTGGTGAGCCGGATCTGGACTACGCCTAGGTTCAAATAGTTTTTATGCCAGTTGTTTACATTTTCTTTATCACACAGACGTGCTACAAGTGCTACAGCACTTGAAACGTGCCTGAGCTGGTTCTTTCTAGCAGCTGCCATCCCCTCTCTCTGGAGATCCCGAGTGATGTGAATCCACAGTAAACAGGCCCTGCCTGTCCTCTCTACATGCCCCTCGAGACAAACACCACCTCGGGCTCTTGACCTACACCTCCTCTTCCCTCTCCATATCACACTTCTTCTGCTTCCATCTAAATCCTTCCCTTTTACAGTTGCTCCTTCTGTTTTACCCGCTCTCACACTCCTTATCTCGCAGCTCACAGAATTCCTCTCGCAGCGATGGGAAGACCGAGCGACATGAGCGATAGAAGATGGAGTGCACAAATACTTAAAAAAAGCTTGAGGAGAGCAAAAACATGAAGGAGGAGAGGAAGAGCATGAGGGAGGGGGGTGACTCATGGCCTATCTAAATATTTACATGCCCTAGGTGCATATACGGCTTCTTCCAAAACCATTTTATTTTTCCAGCAACAACTGCAACTCCAATTACACATGACAACACACAGTTGACATTAAAGAGTCAACGTACCACTGCCTGTCACTATCTGCATAACTACAGCAGTCAGGCTTTACTGCGCAGTCCAAATAGCAGCTTTCTGTAAACCCATTTCCTATAATGAAGAACAAGCTCTTTTTTTCAGCATTAACACGGTGCCTTTCGCTCAGAATGTGTTGCTTTTCTTGCACTGTATTCATGCCTGTAGAGGTAGTGTGTGTGTGTGTGTGTGTGTGTGCGCGAGAGAGAGTGAATGTGTGGGCGCACACGAATTCTGTCTGTGCTTCACTTGAATTCCTCCTGTAGTCATGTGACATTTGTGCTGCTCAGAGACTATCCACAAAGGAGCGAACAATAAGAAATGAGAAGCCTTGTCAACCAGTTTCCCCTTCTTCTCCCTTTTCTTGTGTTGTGATTCGAGCCCCTCTCTTTCTCTTTCCCCCTCGTTCTACCTCCTTCTCTCCTTCTCGGGCTTTTTACCAGTCTCTGTCTTTTCTATCTCAAAGATCTCTGCCTTTCATTGCCTCATTCTCTGTAATTTGTGTCTATGGCTGTGACTCAGCCCAGAATAAAAAGCAAGCAGAATGCATGCTGGGATATTGGAGTTCTCATTTGTTTATAAGGCACAAGAGACACACTCGCTATACCCTCATAGACACACAATCAAAGGGCATTTTTGTGTGTATGTGTCAAACACTGCGTCGCTAACTCTTGGAAATCTAAAACTGAGCTTCAAGAATTGAAGGAATACGATATTCGCTGTTTTGGGAATTAATATAAACACCACTACCATCAAGTTGCACATGTATGTGTGCAAATGGCGTGTATTAACAATCATAAAATAATTGTGGAAGACGAAGCAGCAATTATCTTGCTTCAGTAATCAATAAGGGTGGAAAAATGAATTAAGCTTTCATCATAGATAATGTACTCGTAAAATACACACACAAAACACACTTTTTTACACGCTGTGAGTTCAGGATATGCCACTGGCAGCTCTTGCTTTCATTCGGCGATAACAGATCCCCTGGAGAGTAGCACTCTGGACAATGACATGATGATCATAGGGGGCACAGCGGAAAGGATTTGAGCCAGCTGGGTGAGTTTCCTATAAAAGATAACACATTAGCATCAGCATATCCCTGTGCCTAGCAAAATTGATTGGGTTGTTTATGTATCTTCTACACCTCGCTAAATGACCTTGGAGTGACTGTAAAAAGCTGCAACCTTACAATAATTCCAGAAGACAAGAAAAGCAATTACTGCTTTCAAATACAAAGGTGCTCAAACGGATGCACAAAAAAAGTATAAAAATAAAAGAAACGGTTATCCGGTAAAAGTCCTGAGGGACGAATTCAAATTCATAATAGCTCACACATGTGCCCCCTGAAGGCTTCACGCAATGAGGATGTCTTCCTAACGTCCAAGAGGCTGCCTGAATGTGACAGCACAATTAAAGTAATTTGATAAATGTCGTACCGTTCTCTACACAGTCCAGGAGAGTGCGCGTGGAGGCATGATTCTTACGTTCAGAGCTTTTCGAGATGGCAGTTTTGAAATTAATTGAATATAAATCTGGGCCTATGAGTAATAGAGCGTGTAATGCTCTAAAAGATGTGGCTTTGAGTCACAAGTATTTGGACTAAAAGACGATTCGCCAAATAAACGCATGCACTAAAACTACCCCCATTTTCCCTCCAAGATCACAATCTTAATGCCACCACCATGTAATCCCAAATTTATAGGTGAACCATCGACCCCTCATCTGAAGAGCTTGCCTCAAGTACATACTGTAGCACTCACTCCCTATTTGCCACTACAAAGTGTTCCGGTAGCTCATTACGAATGTTCTCACTTACAGAGCAATAATAAAGGAATTTGATTATGTTCCATTAATACTCCGGGTTTTAAAAGGCTTTGAAGTTTGACTCAAAAAGCTGACTGAATTAATTAAAACTTGGTGTACAGTATGAGAGGGACAGCATGGAGGATTTGAGGGCTCACTCCATCCAATGACCCTGTTATTGATTCCTTACTACCAGTGAACACAAATCCTGGGCCCTGGAGACTCTCAAGCTCCCTGAACACATGGCTGCAGTCCATCAGCGGAGCGGAGTGAATTCTTTATGTGGGAAGAGCAATTTAAAAAAAAAAGACCTCTTGCCAAAAAATCCTTCATTCTCTCCCTTTCAGTTAATGATTAACGCCTCCCCCGACCCCCAACCAACACCGCCCGCTCGCCCGTTCCCAGCACGGCAGCCTGAATGGAGAGTGACAGTTATTTCCTGCCTCCACTTTCTCTGCTGCCAAGCACAGATGCTTGTTGCTTGTGCACACCAACACCCCCAATGACTGCATCCCCCTCTCCTCACCCAGACATTTAGCACCTGGTTGATTGCTGCATGCAGGGAGGGGGCCAGAGGATAGGGTAGATGTTGGGGAGTGGGGGGCAATCATAAAATCAGTGGCGACTGTATATGATGCTGTCAGATCGCTGGCTCTTTAATCAGCAGCTGATACCATGTGATAGAGCTTTTATTGTGGCGCTCTGTCCCTTTGGCAGTGCATTACAGCGAACTGTGTCACATCAGTCCCCACTCTGACTCACAGAGATATTTAAGGGAGCATGTGGAACACTCTCTTCCAGCAGCTAGAGTCCTGGTGAAACCTGCAAGGCTCCTGGTGTTCCCCCACACGATGGTTCGCCGCTCAGCCTCTTCCCTTGAGACAGGTGAGTGACCGGCTCCCAGAGGGCAGGTAAGCATAGAAACTGAGAGCCGACTGTGATCTGTGCCCTGTGTCA